AAATATTTTAATAGAATTGCTGTCAGCTCCTCTCTGATGTTTGATAGAACTCACCAATAAAACCATCTGGGACCAAACTTTTTGTTGCTGGGAGGTTTTTGATGAACATATATATATAGATATTTATTTTGTAATCTATCTATTTAAACCTTCTCGTTCAGTTTGTATCGATTTAGGTAGACAATGTATTTCTGGAATGTCTCCCCATTTTTCTAGGCGTTCGAACTTCCTGGAGTGCAGTCTTTTGTTCCTGTCCTTTTTCCTACCCTGTGTTCGGTGCTGACATCAGCCAGGTCATTCCTCATTGCTGGTATTCGCGTCCTCTCCTTTCCTTGGATAGGTTTGCTAATATTAATCCCTCCCGAGAATAAACTTCAAATATTTCAACTATTTCTGTTGTTTCCCTTGTCTGTTTAACAACGGATGTCACTTTTGTTATTTCTCCCAGGGCTTGCAGGCTAAATTGATGCTCTTTGTCCTAGTTTTTGGAGACGGGGGGCCAGGTTCTTCGCTTTGGGATGTCCGTCCTAACTCTTACAAACTGCCCTGTTGGAACGACTTTTGCCATGTCCTAGAGGCTTGGGTTTGTTCCCATGTGATTCAATGATTGCATTACCATGTGACTCCAGGATTTAAAAACTTGTTCTATTATGGAGTAGTTTTATGTGGGTTGTCATTCAATTTCTATGTATTTGATATTTTTGCTTGATATTTCTATTGCTGATTTCTGTTTTATATAGTTGTGATATAAGAGGGGGCTTTGTGGAATTGCAGGGTTTTAAAATTGATTTAAGCTTGCTGAAAGCCCAACAGGGCCTATCCTGCAGACCCGTGAGAAGAACGCACGTTGTGCTGCTGCCGCCAGGGGCGCTGTGCTCTTTGTCTCTGATCGTGTTGTTTAGTTGATTCGTGACTTTGTGTGCTTTGCATTTCTTTCTAGTTTTTCTTTCCTTCATTGAAAGGGGTGTAATAAAGTCTCCTAATATCATTGTAGAGCTGTCTATTTCACGCTTTGATTCTGTGAGGGTGTGATTTATGAATTGTTAAACTATTTTATATCGGTATATAGGGATTTAGTATGGTTATAATGTCCCCTTGTTAAATGGACCCTTTTTCTCAATCAAAGTATTCATCTTCTGGATTTTTATTTGCTGTTTTTACTTTTCATTTACTTTGTCCCTTTTTTTAACTTCTCCTTGTGCATGAAGTCAGGGTTTACACATCTGATCATGATTTTTGACTTCCGCATCTTTAACCATGGATCACCCTTCCCATTGGCTTGCCCTGTACTCCTGGTTGCTTTGTCCTATCCTTTTGTTGGTTACTTTCTCCCGCATAGCCCAGTCGACATCCGTCAGCCCTAGTACGTCCTGCTGTCCCTTCCGCTCTCAGCCCTGATAACTGAGTCTTCTTCCTTTGGTATGGTAACATTTATCTTAACTAAACTTTACATAACAGTGATCTCATACAGTATTTGTCCTTTTGTGTTTAACCTACTTCACTTATCATAATGTCTTCAAAATCCATCATCTCATCATGTGTTTCATCACTGCTGTTTAGCAATGCAGGGTAGTCCAATGTGTATATGGACCAAAATAGTCTATGCTTCCCTGCCACTGATGGGCATTTAGTGGGTTTCATCTTTTTGTTACTGTTAATAACGCCGCAGTCCACATGGTTGAGCATGCATCTGCTTGTGCTTTGTTCTTCGTTTTGTTTGTTTGTTTAGGATATCTACCAAGTAGCAGGATTGCTTTCATATTATATTTCTAGTCTCAATATTTTGAGGTAGTACAACACTGCCTTGCACAGCGCTTGTAGCGTTCTGCAGTACTAGCAGCAAAGCATGACGGTTCCAATCTCACGGCTCCCTTACAGAATTTGTTTGTTTTCTCTTTGAGGCTTGGTTGGCTTGTTTACTATCAATGCTTGTGTGAGGTAGTTTGTCATCACTGTTTTGCTTTGCATCTCTCTAATGGCTAGTAATTTCGAGCATTTCTTCATATGCCAATTGATTTCTTGAATGTCTTTTTGGTGAATTTTCTATTTATGTCCTCTGCCCATTTTAAAAATCAGATTATTGATCTTTATCTTGTTTGGGCATTGCAATTTTCTATAAATGTTAAAGTCCTTTGGCCAATAAGTCATTGACACAAAATTATTTCCTAGGCTATGGGTTCTCTTTTTGTATTTCGGTAAAATCTTTCGGTAAATGTAAGTGTCTTAATTTTTAGGAGACTCCAGTAATCTGTTTTGTCTTTTGCTTTGTGTGTACTTTTCATTGTATCTTATAGTGTGTTGGTAACCTTAATTTTGTCACTTTTTAATATGATATTTAGAATTCTTGGGTTTAGATTTAGAGTATATGTCTAGGAGGTAAAATTAGTGAATTGGCGGGGTGGGGGGTGTTCCTACATATTTATTCAGTTTATTTCCCTATGATTTAACTTTGGAATAACTGATTACTCTTTCTGTCATCCCTGCATAGGAGTTGGGCTAATCTTCTCTGTATTGTTCTACTTTTTGTATATGTGCTACCAAAATGAATATATATTTTTTTCTTTTTAACATTCTAAAGAGGCTTTTTGCTGCAAATGTACCCAAGGTAGTACATTATTTGATGTATGGACTACTGCTTCTATGGAAGGGTTAGTCTTTTGTATAGAAAGAAGCAGTTACATCGATATCTGCCGTCATGTAGGGAACACAGAAGATATGGGTGCAAAGTGTGGTGAAGACATTAGATGGTATGTGGCTATGAGACAGAATAGAATCCAGAGTCTTAAAGGTTTGTTTCCAAACAAACACCATCTAAGTGAGAAGTCAAGTAAGTCCACGTGAAGGAAGCACACCTAAATCCATGACTCGAGGATTGTGGATGATATAATCCAGATCTGAAGGAGGGAATAGTATCAGAGCTTAACTGTGACATTCTGGTGAGCAGAAGGCCTGGAGGACAGTGGAAGCTCAAAATCCATTTGCAGGGTCCCCACAGGGAATGCACCTCTGGTGATTTCCCTCTGACCACAATGGGGGGAGGGGAACAAACTGGTTACCAGACAGAGAGTATTGGAGAGACGACCATAGCAGATGACAATGATAAATCTGACCCGATCTTCTCTCTCATACACTTTGCGCTTGATCTGGTTTTTCATATGTTCTGGTTTTTGTTTTGCTTTTTCATATTGGGGGTTATGGCTATTGTATTTTGTCATTGTAGGTAGCCATGTTGAGTTTTTGCTGTGTTTTTTCTATGTTTTTCAGTATATGAAATCTAGGATTGATGAATTTATAGCAACAACAACTAGAATAAGAGTTCCTGGGGGCGGGGGGGCGGGTATAGTGGAGGGGGATATGCGCTGGTATCAAGGGGTTCAAGAAAGAAGTAAATGTTTTGAAGCTGATTTTGGTAGCAATTGTTTAATACTGCTTGATGCAATTGAACTATGAGGTATGATGTCTAGATTAGCTCCTAATAAAAAGGTTTTTTGGGGGGGTAGGGGGAGAAGCAGTTATAAAACCCAATATTTATAAGTTTGGGGGTCTGGAGCAATACACTATTAGTGTTAGAGATCCCTCCATGGATCCATAATGGAGCCTATCAAGAGATTTGGGAGATCTAAATGCTTGCCCCCAGAAAAACACTGTTTAATCCCTAAGTTTAGATTGACTCTCAGTTTGCTTTCCTACAGATTTTCTCTGGAGAAGCCAGACCAATTACCCTAATAAACCCAATTATTTTCTGTGCCAATAAAAGTTTCTGGCTTAGAAACAACATAACACAAGTATTAGGACCTTTCCCTTTTACTATGTCTGAGTTTTACATAAAGAAGAGAGGAATCCTTTGAAGCATCCAGCAGGGGGACACCTGACCCCCTCTGTGAGCTCACTGCTAGGTTGTCTTAGCCCCCTCCCTGCTCCTGTAATTCATGTGTTGAGGAAGGTGGATTGGGAAGACGAACAACTTATTCTGAGTGAAATTGAGAACCATTTGTGTTAGTTTGGGTAGACTAGAGAAACAAATTCATAGAGACACGCATATGTGTATAAGAAAGAGCTTTATATACAAGAGCAATTGACTATTAAGAAAATATCCCAGCCCAATCCAGATCATGTCCATAAGTCCAGTATTAGCCTATATGTCCGATACCAATCTATAAATTCCTCTTCAGACTCACGAAACACATACAATGATGCCAAATGTAGGACATCACAGACCAATGTGAGGAAAGTCTTGTGGATCCAGTGGCGGTAGAAGCATCACAGCACTGGCAGGAGTCTCCATGTGGCTTCTCCTGCTCCGAGGCTCTGGCTGCCATCAGCCTGTCTCCATGTAACTTGTCAACAAGAATGTCTCCCAGGGACTGAGCACGTGTCCCGCCTCCAATGAGCTATTTATCTCCTTACCACTTCCAAATGAGGTCATCAAGCTGTGACCTGATTGGCAGGCCAAACTCCACCCTTCATTGGTAAGTCTCAAATTGACAATAGACTATGTAACTAGCACACCATTTAAACAGTTGAAGCATGATGAGGTTGGCACTGTTGTAGAACTATGGTAGAGACCAGGCAACCACCAGTCTAGAAGTCTGATGAAGAAGGGAGAGACCACTGTCAAGATGCCTTCCGCAGGCCTGTCTGGATAGGACAGGCTGGATGAACAATCTGGAGGAGAAAACAACGGGACTGACAGTTCCGGGGGGACATGGGA